TGTATATCAAGATATATATCATATATTGCAATAAAGAAATATTAAAAAAATAGCTTGTAGAGACTGATATCGTTGAACATAAAAAAAATTTTTTTAAATAACATAATAAATAAATAATAGGCCGCGCTGTGCTCACGCCTGTAATCCAGCACTCTGGGAGGCTGAGGCGGGGAGGATCGCTGGAGTCCAGAGTCGAGACAGCCTGAGCAAGAGCGAGGACCCTGTCTCTAATATAAATAGAAGGAAATTAAGTTGCCAACTAATCTATATAGAGAAAAAAATGGAGCGGCGTGTGTGCGCAATGCCTTATTCCCTTGCGACTCGAGGGGAGGCTGGAGGCAGGAGGTTGTGCAAGATGAGGTAGTTCGAGGCCAGCCTGAGCAAGAGCGAGACCCCTGTCTAGTATAAATAAAAGAAATGAGCTGACAACTAAAAGATAAAGAAAAAGAGACGGCTGGTGGGCATGCCTGTAGTCCCAGTACTTGGGAGGGAGGCTGAGGCAGAGGGCTCGCTCAAGCCAGGTGTTGGAGGTGTTGTGAGGTGAGGCTGACGCCACGGCACTCACTTCAGTTGGGCGAGCAAGCGGAGACTCGGTCTCAAAAGGAAGAAAAAAAAAATAATTGGCCACTAACATATAAGAAAAATAGCCGGCGTGGGGGCGCTGTGCCTGTAGTCCCAGCTACTCGGTGAGTGGAGACTGAGGCAGGAGGATAGTTTGAGGTCAGGAGTTGGAGGCCAGCCTGTGGCAGATGAGACCCCATCTCTACTATAAAAATAAAAAATGATTGCCAACTAATATATATAGAAAAGAATAGCCGGGGCGTGGGAGGGCGCATGCCTGTAGTCCCAGCTACTCGGGAGGAGGCGAGGCAGAGGATCGCTGGGAGCAGGAATTGGTTGCTGTGAGCAAGGCTGACGCCACGGCACTCGTTCTTAGCCTGGGCGACAAAGCGAGACGCTTGTTCAAAATAAATTTATATTATATTGATGTGGTAATATTTACATATTATATGTTATATGAATAATATGTGAATATATTGGATGTATATATTCAATATATGATACAATATATACACTTCAATAATATGTATTTTTTTTTCAGCTTTTAAGTCCCACTATTCCATATATATCAGTATGTATTGAATAGTAGATCTGTTTTTGATATTGATTTTGATATGTTTGATATATGGTAATTATTGGAATATGTTGTAAGTTTATATTGAATATATATTGAATTATATATTTATATGTAATATATTTTTATATGGAATTTTATTATATATTATATGAATATTTTGATGTATATATGAATAAAAATGTATATTCAATATATATAATATATCCATTCATAAATTTTTTTTGAGACAGGTCTCGCTATTCAATATATTGATTACATTAATTTTATTAATATTTATATTGAATTTATGAATAGCATGATATATATGAATGAATTTTGTATTATTATATAGTGCATAGTGTATATATATTAAATATATATTTTTATATAAAAATACATATATATTTGCTATTTTTATATGACTATGTTTGGCAATAAAGCAGATATGAAAAATAATCCAGTGCTGTTATTTGGTTTATTTCCAGTGGCCTGGAATATATTCAATATACATTTCACATATATATCCATATATATATTAACATAATAGTATATAATATATCTACTTTTCAATATATATATATTTTTGGATTCGTCCTATTACATTATATTTGAAGTATATATATTATATAGATATATATTGATATTATTTTTTGTGGTATATTATATGAAAAATATTTATATATAATATATTGATAATATAAATTTATATATATATATATTTAATATTTATAATATATAAATATATTTGTATATATAAATATGCATATATTTGCATACATTATATTATATGGCATAATCCAAGGCAAATATTGAGGAAAGGATATGCAGCGCCGCTGTTTGCTGTCTCGCGGTGGCTGGGCCGCTTCCCCACGGACATCCCGAGCGCCTTCCTGGGACAGACGTCCACGGTTGGTCGCGCGGATGGAGTCAGGCCCCCTTTCTTCTCCGCACCCCAGAGGAGCGTTGAGGACCTGTCGCGAATCAGAAGGATTTTCGGGGCACGCAGCTGGAAGACCAGCTTCGGTCACGGGAACTCGAAAGGAGCAACGCCGGCAAAGAGGAAGACCGAAAAGCAGTCGAGGGCGTTTCAAGGTGAGCGAGGCTCATGTTGGAGGCCGTGGTCCATACTTGTCCCTCCTGTCCATCATCATTGCTATTATTTCTGAGGCCGAGTCTCCCTCTGTCCCCCGGGCTGGAGTGAGCGCCGTGGCGTCAGCCTCGCTACGGCGCCCCGACTCCTGGCCTCGAGCGAGTCTGCCTCGCTCCTCCTGAGGTATCTGGGACCCACAGGCATGTGTCATCTGCGGTCTCAATTTTCTCTATATTTTAGTTTTCCAGGTCATTCTTTCTATTTTCTTTTAGTAGGACGGGTCTCGCTCTTTGTCAGGCCGCCTCCCATCTCCTGGTTCCTCGAGTGATCCTCCCGCTGCCTGCTGAGTCTTGGATGTACATGCGTGCTGCTCGCCGCGGCCTGGCTATCCATATTTTCCTTGTGTTGGTTATTAATTTATTTCTTTTTTTTATAGAGACGGTCTGCTCGTGGCTCAGGCTGGCCTCGACTCCTGACCGCTTGAGTGGCCTCTGCCTGCTCTCCCTCCGATTAGCTGGACTCGTGCACGGCGCCACCGACGCCCGGCTCTTTTCCGTAATTATTTTAATGCCCATTTAATTTTTTCTGGTTTGTTTTTTTAGTAGAGACGGGTCTCGGCTGTTGTGGCCTCCAACTCCTGACCTCGAGCGACGCCTCCTCTGCTCTTGAGTGTTAGCATGACAGTCGTCAACCACCGCGCTCCGCCTCATGTTTCCTTATATATTTTTAGTGTGCGATAATTTCTCTATTCTTTTTTTTCTTTTTTTTTTTTGAGTGGCAGAGACGGGTTCCGCTCTGGCTCAGCTGCCTCCACCTCCTGGCTCGAGCGGATCCTCCGCGGCTCGGCCTCCCAGCCATTTTGCTAATTTTCTCAGGTTCTATCCCAACCGAGCTAGAGACTCCGTGCAGAAGCAGCGAGGACGGTGACAAGTCAGTGAAAGCGGAGGCCCTATCCACAGTTTCGGTAAAGGTGCGACTGTTATTTTGGGAGGGTGACCCCCCATCATTAGAACTTGAGCTCCCCTTGTCCTGGTCACGCTAATCCCTGTGTCGCCTTTGTTAAATTCCAGTATAAAGCGGGAGCTCATGATATCCGGCGAAATGAGAGGAAAGGGAAAAGGAGATTGGTTTTTTATTCTTTTATTTTCATTTTCTAATAATTTTAAAAATTTTATTTATTCTTTATTTTTGTTTTTCCTTTTTCTCACACAGACCGAGTGGAAAGTCAGATTGGTTTTTTATTTGTCCTTTATTTTGAGACAGGGTCTCGCTCTGGTCGCCGGCTTGGAGTGAGTGCCGTAGGCGTCAGCCTCGGTCACGGCAGCCTCCGACTCCTGGCTCCGGCGATCCTTCCCGCTCGGCCTCCTCCCAGGAGCTGGGACGACAGCGGCGCCTCCACGCCGGCTCGTTTTTTCTATTAGTTTTATTGTCCAGCTATTCTTTCTATTTTTTATTATTTTTTAGTAGAGACGGCGGGTCTCGCTCTTGTTCTAGGCTGGGCCTCGACTCCTGGACCTCACGCGATCCTCCTGCCTCGGCCTCCCAGAGTGCTGGGATGACAGGCGTCCATTATATTTTTGGAGGAGTGCAAGAGGTGGTCTGTAGGGCCCACTTTGTTTGTTTTTTTAAGACAGAAGTCTTACTCTGTTGCCGGGCTAGAGTGATGCCGTGGCGTCAGCCTCGCTCACAGGCAGGCCTCCACTCCTGCCTCAAGTGATCCTCCAGCCTCAGCCTCCTACTGAGTAGCTGGGACTACAGGCATGCGGCCACCACGCCCGGCTATTTTCTATATATTAGTCGGCCAATTTAATTTCTGTCTATTATAGTAGAGACGGGTCTCGTCTTGTCAGGCTGGTTTCGAACTCCTGACCTCTTGAGCGTCCTCCCGCCTGGCTCTCCAGCAGTGCTCGATGACAGGCGTGAGCCTTCGGCCGCCGCGTAATTGCTTTTTATTTGCGGATTCCCTGGAATCATATATGCCATTTGAATTTGAGGCAGCACTGGTTAGAGGAAATCGCAATTCATTTTAAAAAATAAAATCTTTCTCGTTCATTGCCCCTTGAATTTTTTTCATCTTCCTCATTTTTTTTTTTTTTCTCTCTGCGAATTTTCTGATGGAGTGTTTCAAGAACAGCAGGGATTTCTCTGACGGGAGCAACCATGATGGAGATAAAAGAATTAATTGAGAGAGAATCATTTAGCAGCCTAACAAACTTGCTGGAGAAACAGAAGTCCCAAAGTAAGTCAGGTGGGGCTTTGGAATTTCACGGTAATTTGGCTTGAAAGGATTATGAAATATATATATGTATATATATATTTTATTTATTTTTATTTCTTTATATTTTTTTCTATTTTTAGTTGGCCAATTAATTTTTTTTTTATTTTTTTATTTTTAGTAGAGAGGGGGTCTCGCTCTTACTCAGGCTGGTCTCGAACTCCTGACCTCGAGCGATCCTCCCGCCTCGGCCTCCCAGAGTGCTGGGATGACAGGCGTGAGCCACCCCGCCCGGCCTGTGTGTCTACTTTCACACAAGTACCCTGCCGTTTCGGTTACTATAGCGTTGCAGTATAATTTTAAATTAGGTAAAACGATGCCGGCATTATTTATTGTTTTTGCTTAGGATTGCTTTGGCTGTTTTTCTTTTTTTTGAGACAGAGTCTCACTCTGTCGCCCAGGCTAGAGTGAGTGCCGTGGCGTCAGCCTCGCTCACAGCAGCCCCCAACTCCTGGGCTCAAGCGAGCCTCCTGCCTCAGCCTCCCTCCCGAGTAGCTGGGACTACAGGCGTGCGCCACCACGCCCGGCTCATTTTTCTATATGTATTTTTAGTTGTCCAATTAATTTATTTCTATTTTTTCAGTAGAGACAGGGGTCTCGCTCTTGCTCAGGCTGGTCTTGAACTCCTGACCTCGAGCGATCCTCCCGCCTCGGCCTCCCAGAGTGCCGGGATGACAGGCGTGAGCCTCCGCGCCCGGCCTGTGTGTCTACTTTCACACAAGTACCCTGCCGTTTCGGTTACTAGAGCGTTGCGGTATAATCTAAAGTCGGTTAAAGCTGACGCCTCAGTTTTTTGTTCCTTTCGCTTCGACTCTTCCTGCGCTCTGTTTTTTTTTTGTTTGTTTGTTTTTGTTTTTTAGTTCCACCTCTCCCGGTTGCCGGCAAACCCGTGCCTTCTGGAAGCTTCCGGAACCTTCCGGAGAGCCCCCCCTGCCGTCCACCGCACTGCCCCACGTCCCGCCCGCCGCGCCTCCCCTCATAACGCCGGTCTCCTTTCTGTGATTCCGCAGTTAAAGCGAAGGATGCCGAGAAGAAGAAGAAGGTCCCGAAGAAAATCAAGAAGGTTCTCACGATCGAAGAGGACCTCCCCCCGTTGCCACCCATCCAGTGGAAGCCGAGCATCTTCTCCACGCAGCTCTCCCTGATGCCCCTCCTTGCCGGTAGCGGTCCATGCCCCCCACGCTGTCCGCGCGTCCGGCCGCGTGCGGCTAGAAAGCCCATATGTGGGAGGGTCTCGACGGACCGAGCCCTGTTCCCGACCGATCCCACCCCTCTTTTTATCCTCACGCCAGCCGCGGCCCGGGCGAGGGCCCACTCTCCTCCCCCGGCAGAGAGGGGAGACTGAGGCCCAGAGAGGTTGACCGCGTCGCCCGAGAACACACAGCTCAGCTCTGTCTGATTCCAGAGGCCAGTGTTGCCGGCAATAATATGACGGGGTCCCGGTCTCCATTGCTAAATATGACATGCTGCATTTTTTTGTTTGTTTGTTTGTTTTTGAGACAGAGTCTCGCTCTGTCGCCAGGGCTGGAGTGGGTGCCGGGGTGTCAGCCTCGCTCACAGCAGCCTCCGACTCTTGGGCTCCAGCGATCCTCCTGCCTCAGCCTCCCTCCTGAGTAGTAGCTGGGACTTACAGGCCCGCGCCACCACGCCCGGCTCATTTTTTTCTATATATATTAATTGGCCAATTAATTTCTTTCTATTTATAGTAGAGACGGGGTCTCGCTCTTGCTCAGGGTGGCCTCGTACTCCTGACCTCAAGTGATCCTCCCTCCTCGGCCTCCCAGAGTACTGGGATGACAGGCGTGAGCCACCGCGCCCGGCCTAAGTATTTAATTTTTTTAAATTTAAAAAATGAATAGCAGAAAAATAATAAGTCAGATCGTCTCATTGTGCCCCGAGGTGACCGGGAAATGCTTATACTCTTCACAGAGCGTTATCACGATCAAGTAGTAAAAATTAAATTCCATTAGAGAATTTATTAGAGAATTATTTATTAGATTATTTATTATTTATTTATTCATTATTCATTATTATTTAATTATTATTTATAATTATTATTCATTATTATTATTTATTTATTATTATTATTATTTAATTATTTATTAGAGAATTAGAGAATTTCCGGGACTTTAGTTTGAGTAACGCTGCCCGTGGGTCGTGTTACTGGATTCTTTTTTTTTTTCTTCTTCCAATTTTCCCTTTTCAGCTGCGATTTTTATGATTGGCCCGTTCTCCGGGGTCCTGGTCCCTCTGTGCTCCTCCTGGGGCTGTCACGAGTGCAGTTCTGACACTGTGTGTCCCGTTCCTCCGCCCCGCAGGAGAGCAAGCTGTCGTGAGCCGCAGTAGCGAGAAGTCTGCCAACATCTTAGAGTGCATGCTGACTCTGAAGACCGAGGTCCCCATCATGACGGAAGAGCAGAAGCAGGACTTGAACCCCCTGACCATAAAGATCAAGTGTGCCTCCTGCCTCCCATCCCAGCCCGTGCCCATCCAGGAGCTGAAGGTGAGGATGAGGCCGATGGGGCAGGGGTCAGAGGGTGAAGGTCCCTCCTCTTCCTTCCCACCCGCCCCGTGACGTCTGCCTTGTGCCGGATTCTGCGTATTCCTCTTCCTTCATTTACTATTTTGTTTTGCTGGGGCGTATCCTGCAGTAGCTTTCTCAGAAAAGGTCAACGGGAGATTTGTTGTTTTGAGATGCTTAATGTCTTCCTTCTTCCCCCTCCTGGTTGGATCCCGTCTCCTGGATTCTGCGTTTCCCTCTTCCTTCCATGTTTGCTCTCTTGTTTTGCTGGAGTGTATCCTGCAGTAGCTTTTCCAGAAAAGGTCAACGGGAGATTTGTTGTTTTGAGATGCTTAATGTCTTCCTTCTTCCCCCTCCTGGTTGGATCCCGTCTCCTGGGTTCTGCATTTCCCTCTTCCTTCCATGTTTGCTTTTTTGTTTTGCTGGGGCGTATCCTGCAGTAGATTTTTCAGAAAAGGTCAACGGGAGATTTTTTGTTTAGAGATGCTTAATGTCTTCCTTCTTCCCCCTCCTGGTTGGATCCCGTCTCCTGGATTCTGTGATTCCCTCTTCCTTCCATGTTTTCTTTTTTGTTTTGCTGGGGCGTATCCTGAAGTAGATTTCTCAGAAAAAGTCAATGGGAGATTTGTTGTTTTGAGATGCTTAATTTCTTCCTTCTTCCCCCTCCTGGTTGGATCCCTGTCTCTTCGATTCTGCGTTTCCCTCTTCTTTCGTGTTTGCTCTTTTGTTTTGCTGGGGCGTATCCTGCAGTAGCTTTTTCAGAAAAGATCAGCGGGAGATTTGTTGTTTTTAGATATTTAATTTTCTCGTAAGTATGATATGTTTTCACGCTGTTGTAATTGGTGGCTTAAAAAATTGTATTTTTATGCAGAGTGAAGCTCAAGCCAAAAAAAAAAAATTGTATTTTTAAATTATTCATGGCAAGTAAGTAAAAATGCAATAGATTTTACCTTGATGATACTCTTTCCTTAAACCTATCAAATATACTTTATTTATTTATTTAATTTATTTATTTTTGAGACAGAGTCTCCCTTTGTTGCCCCCGGGCTAGGGTGAGTGCCGTGGCGTCAGACTCGCTCATAGCAGCCTCCAACTCCTGGCCTCAAGCAATCCTCCTGCCTCGGCCTCCCTCCCGAGTAGCTGGGACTACAGGCATGCGCCACCACGCCCGGCTACATTTTTTTTTTCTCTATATATTTTTACTTGTCCAGCTAATTTCTTTCTATTCCTATTAGAGACGGGGTCTCGCTCTCGCTCAGGCCGGCCTCGAACTCCTGACCTCGAGCGATCCTCCCTCCTCGGCCTCCCCCCAGAGAGCGCTGGGATGGCAGGCGCGAGCCTCCGCGCCCGGCCCGACTCGTGATTCCATGCCAGCGTCATCTTGCTGGTTTCTCGTTTCTTCGACGCCCTGCGTCCCTGCTAGTGGCCTTGCTCTTGGGAGGTTGTCTCGCGGACGGTTCACGTCGGAGGAGGAAACGGGGGTTCCAGGGGGTGCGGGCGGGGAGCGTGGCACGAACCGTGTCTCCCCGAAAATCACACGGGGCCTTCTATTTATTTTCCCCCAAGAAGACACCCCGGTAGGGCTGATTTTCGGGGCACGGGTTTAGCGAAGACGTCTACTTACTGGAACGTCCCTCCTCCCTCTCCACACCCCGGACCCCGCCCCCAGCGTCTCGCGACTCTATTTCCCCTTTAGAACCTTCTAGAACCGACCTCCCCGCCCCCATTCGAGCCCCCCAGAGCCCTCGCGACAGGGGCGGACGGTCGGACGGGAAGGGCCGCCCGCCCGACGTCAGTCCCGCCCGGCGACCAAGCCCGCCGGTCGCCATGCAGACTTTGTGCCGCGTAACCACGGCAACCGTTGCTAAGGGCGCATTTTCGGGGTCGGGCTTTGACGGCTCAAATGCTCAGCCGTCCCGCTGAGGGGCTGGTTTTCGGGGTCGGGGGGCTTTGACAGCTCAATTGTTCAGACGTCCCGCTGAGGGGCTGGTTTTTGGGGTCGGGGGGCTTTGACGGCTCAAATACTCGGACGTCCCTCTATAGGGCCGGTTTTTGGGGTCGGGGGGCTCTGACGGCTCAAATGCTCGGACATCCCGCTAAGGGGCCGGTTTTCGGGGTCGGGGGACTTTGACGGCTCAATTGCTCAGACGTCCCGCTGAGGGGCTGGTTTTTGGGGTGGGGGGGCTCTGATGGCTCAAATGCTCAGACATCCCGCTGAGGGGTTGATTTTCGGGGTCGGGGGGCTTTGACAGCTCAAATGCTCAGACGTCCCTCTATAGGGCTGGTTTTCGGGGTCGGGGGGGCTCTGACGGCTCAAATGCTCAGACATCCCGCTAAGGGGCTGATTTTGGGGGTCGGGGGGCTCTGACGGCTCAAATGCTTGGATGTCCCACTGAGGGGCTGGTTTTCGGGGTCGGGGGGCTTTGACAGCTCAAATGCTCAGACGTCCCGCTAAGGGGCTGGTTTTCGGGGTCGGGGGCTTTGACAGCTCAAATGCTCAGACGTCCCGCTGAGGGGCTGGTTTTTGGGGTCGGGGGGCTCTGACGACTCAAATGCTCAGACGTCCCGCTGAGGGGCTGGTTTGCGGGGTCGGGGGGCTCTGACGGCTCAAATGCTCGGACGTCCCACTAAGGGGCTGATTTTGGGGTGGGGGGGCTCTGACGGCTCAAATGCTCAGACGTCCCGCTGAGGGGCTGGTTTTCGGGGTTGGGGGGCTTTGACGGCTCAAATGCTCAGACGTCCCTCTGTAGGGCTGGTTTTGGGGTCAGGGGGCTCTGACGGCTCAAATGCTCAGACGTCCCGCTAAGGGGCCGATTTTTGGGGTTGGGGGGCTCTGATGGCTCAAATGCTCAGATGTCCCGCTGAGGGGCTGGTTTTCGGGGTCGGGGGGCTCTGACGGCTCAAATGCTCGGACGTCCCGCTATGGGGCTGATTTTGGGGGTCGGGGGGCTTTGACGGCTCAAATGCTCAGACGTCCCGCTGAGGGGCTGATTTTCGGGGTCGGGGAGCTTTGACAGCTCAAATGCTCAGACATCCCTCTATAGGGCTGGTTTTCGGGGTCGGGGGCTCTGACGGCTCAAATGCTCAGACGTCCCACTAAGGGGCCAATTTTCGGGGTCGGGGGGCTCTGACGGCTCAAATGCTCAGACGTCCCAC